ATTTAACATGTACCGATTTATTTTGGGTGTACATTTTGCACGTTAATATAATTTGCAGAACTGTGTCTTTTTTTATTGATGAAAGTCATGTCAATATATAGATAGACGTAGCAGTGCAATTGGTTACAAATGATAAACTCACATAACAAATTCAAGGTAACAAACTAGCCAACCTAGATAACGAACTAATTACAGATCTGGATGGGTCTTATCTGCAAGACTCGATGCTATGCTAACTTTAATTGGGTGCACAGGATAGGACCCGGTACTTTCCCTTATAGAGCAATAAGCTGATGACTTGATGAGAATCTTCAGTTGCATTGGATATTTTTTATAAAAAAATTATATGTATTTCACAATATATAAAATTTTAATTTGACATTTTTAGGATCTCCTTATTGTACCCTTAGGGTGTGTTTGGTACAAGAGAAATTTTTTGGTATCCGGAAATCATGATTAATAGGAATACAGTAAAAATTGAGTTTACTTGGAATCTTACGAAAGAGGTGTTTGGTTCGCCAAAATATTACCAGGAATATTGGATAAAAATTACTGATTCCATGTTTGGTTTAGAACGAAATATGACTTGGAATATGAGGTTATTTTACAAAATAACCCCAAACTATTTTTACTTTTGTAATTGATAGATTGGGTCTAGATTTTTATGTATATTGGGGTATTTTTGTCTCAAAATTTATTATCGTGCTTTCCCTTTACTTGGTATTCTGATTGGTATTCCGAATTACCATATTATTTTTGGTAATCTGAATAGTGACTTTTCTTTATAAATCAAATTACCGGTAATCCTTAGATATCCGTGAATTGATTTTTATTCCTTCTACCAAACGTGGTAATTGCATTTACCAAAGAAGGATTACCGGTAATCCTCTCCAAATACTTGAAACAAACACCCCCTTAAGGCTAATCATGTCTAAATGTGAGATAAAAGTATGATTAACAGCTATATAAAATTGCTAATTGTATATTAGTGTAACTTGTATAACTATTTTATATAACTAAGTTAATTGTATTTCATGATGCATCACTTGAGAACATGGACGTCAGTTAATGATATTGCAAATTTTCCATATAAAAATGCTTACTTTTATAATTTGTTGTGTGCGTGTGTGGTTTTGCCTGAAATTTGACTTTGACAACCATCTCATTTGAAAAATCACATTTTGTTGTCTTAGTTCAGGAGAAACTAAGGTTGCGTTTCATGCACGTTTAAAGACACCACAAATAGACCAATATTAAGATGATATAAGACAGTTTTTTAGTGTTGTTAGCTAATTGATGACCAATAATACTCGTGAATAGAATAATACAAAATTTATTATAATATCATTTGTGTTGAATATTATTTTACGCAATAGTGTTAGGATAATTAAAGAATATAATTCATTGATCTTTTTCCGTTTTATGCAATACAATTTTGTAACTTCTTTTAATCGGTAACAAAAATGAACAGATTTAACTCTTTTATTTTTGGAAATATTTCAATCGGTTCATGACTTCGCAACTAATCTGATTCGGGGCAGGTCCAGAATTAAGGCTTTAAACTCCTCCCAAAAGTGGTACTGAGGAGATTCGAACACATACTCTCACCCTCATCTGCTAAGCTCTCATGCGCCAACTGAGCTACCAACATTTGGTGCTGTGCTGTTAACTCTAGTAGTGAACAAACTCGGACCAAAAAATTATCAAGGGACAAGAAAAAAAAGGAAAATCAAAGGACAAACACGGATGGAAATTTAAATGAACCAAGTAATTTGTAGTATAATTAATTAATTTTAAAAAATACTAGGAAAACGTTGAAAGTAGTTTAAAATAATTTAGTTTTCAATTAAACTACATTTATAAACTAAAATTTGACTTAATTGGTTTTTGAAAGTGTTTTCTCAATGCTCTAGCAAATCACAAATGAAGGCTTGTGTCTCACATTAATTACTCTATTTTTTTTTACTAATCAAAATAAATTAAGCACATTTTCAAAAAACAGTGATAAATTATGCAAGTGAAATTGTTTTTCCTCCTTCTATTTGAAATTTAATACAAAACTTGAACATATTTAGGATTTAGTTATTAATTGTTAACTTCCGGTTGTGGCATAATCAACCATCATACGCCAATATGTAAAGTGCTGCAATAGTATCATAATAAAGTCAAGTGAAATATAGCTTTTACTAAATAATGATTACACTAAACAAAATAAATCTTCGGTCCAAAACTAGGCTGATTTAGCAATCTAAGGGCGTGCATGACAACCTTCTTGAAATCAATTCTTTTTTAATTTCTGTTCCCGGGAACAAAAATGGATAGGAAACTTGTTTGGTAAAATCAGTTTATTTTTTTGTTCTCGGAATGAACCGATTTAATTTTTGTGCTGGGAAACAGAAAAAACAATAAAAAAATTTATGCTTTTTTGCTCCTTGACACAAAATGAGAAACACTTGTCTATCTCAATTACTCTCCACCACCACCATTATCTCGACACGACCATCACTACCATTGTCGCCATTGTCGTCGTACCACCAATGCCGTTGTCACCACCACCACGATTCCACCGCCACCATCACCTCCACCTCCACCCATCGCCACATCACCACAACCACCACCACGCCACTACTACAACCACCGCCACTACTACCATTATTGCTGCAGTCATTGCCGTCTCCAGCACTGCCGCCACCGCCACCACCAACGCCACCAACCACTACCATCGTCGCAGCCACTGCCGTCTCCACTACCACCACCACCATCGCCACAAACTACCACCACCGTCGTCGCACCATGTCATAACCACCACCGCCGCTGCCACCACCATCACCACAACCACTGTCGTCGTTGCCACCACTACTGCCACCGCCACCACCATTATTGCTGCAGCCACTGCCGTCACCATCACCACCAACCATCACCACAATCATTGTAACCACTGTCGTCACCGCCACCAACTACCGCCACCGTCGTCGCAGCCACCACCACCACCACCATGTCATAACCACCACCGCCGCTGCCACCACCATCACCACAACCACTATCGTCGCTGCCACCACTACTGCCACCGCCACCGCCATTATTGCTACAGCCACTGCCGTCACCATCACCACCATGCCATCGCCGCCACCAACCACCACCAACCACCACCACCTCCGCCACCAACTACCACCACCGTCGTCGCCGCCATTGCAACCACCACCATGTCATTACCACCATCACCGCCGCAACCACCTTCACCACAACCACTGTCGTCGACACCGCCACCACCGTCGCCACCACCACCATCGCAGCCATTGTCGTCACCACCACCACCATTACCACCGCCACCAACTACCACCATCGTCTCGCAATCATTACTGTCTGCAGCACCACCATATCATTACCACCACTGCCGCTGTCGACACCACCATCGTCGTAACCACTGTCGTCACCACCCTCACCCCCACCAACTACCACCGCCATCATTGCAGCCACTGCCGTCACCGCGACAACCATTACCACTTCCACTAATTACCACCATCATCGTCGCAGTCATTGCTTTCTCCAGCACCACCATATCATTACCACCACCGCCGCCGTTGACACCCCCATCGTCGCAGCCACTGTCGTCACCACTACCACCATATCACCGACACGCCACCAACTACCCCCACCGTCGTGTGCAACCACTACTGTCTCCACCAACACCATGGCATTACCACCTTCACTACCTTCGTCGCCCCCACCACCGCCACCACCGTCACTATTACCACCACTGCCGCCGCCACCACCACACTATATGAAAAAGAAAGTGTAATATGAAAAAATATTATGCTTAACAAGAATTATATTTTATTATATTATTTATTATGTTATCAAACACAATTCTTATTCTCGGAATAAAAATAGAACATGTTATCATAATTATTATTAGGGTCAATTATGAAATTATCTCATAATTATCTAATTAATTTCCTTAATTAGCGGTGCAGGTTCTTACAATTGTCACCGCCATTGTACCACCAATGTCGTCGTTACAACCACCACCACCACCACCACCACCACAATGATGCCACTGTCACCATCACCACCACCACGACAATGTCATCACCACCACCATGCTACCGTCACCACCACCACCACCATTATCGCAATCACTACTGTCACCACCACAACCACCATCGCTGCAGCCACTGCCGTCACTGCCACCACCATCGTCACAGCCATTGCCACCATCACCACTGCTGCCATCACTACTACCACCACCATCGCCACCATTACCACTATCATCGCCGCAGCCACTGCCGCCACCACATCATCGCCACTGTCACCACACCACCGCCACCGCCACCGCCACCGCTACCAACCACCACCACCATCGCCGCAGTCACTGCCGTCACCACCACCATCGTCATAGCCACTGCTGTCACCACCACAGCCACCATCGTCGCAACCACTGCCATCACCACCACCACCACTACTACCACCACCATCGCCACCATTACCACCATCAGCTCCGCAGCTACTGCCACCACCACTATCGCCACCATTTTCACCACCATGTTGCCACCACATCATCGCCACTGCCACCGTCACCAACCACTACCATCATCGCCGCAGCCACTGTCGTCACCACCACCACCATACCATCACCAACACCACCATGTCACCACCACTACACACCACCAACCACCACCACGCCGCTGCCACCACCGCCGCCATATGAAAGGAAAGTGATGATCCGAAAAAAAATTATGCTTATTAGGAATTATTTTTTTTATATTATTTATTGTGTTATCAAACACAATTCTCATTCTCAGAATAAAAATAGAACATGTTGTCAAACATATTTTTTTTCTCAGAAACTGTTCCAAGACACAGAAATAGAAAATAATTGTTTCTTTTTAAAAACAGTGCCAGGAAACAGAACGATTGTCATGCACACCCTACGTCAGGGTTAATATCATGCAGCATTCAGCATGCGTCATTAACTATAATGGTAGTTGACATTAGGCTCATTACTTTGGATGGCAACTCTTCTGACCTTGTTGGGTTTGGAAAGAGACTGTTGTAGTTTTAATCCGGTCAGCCAGAGTATAAACCTATCATTCACCATTTGTATGGATACTAAGATTCTTGTACTTCTAATAGTCTTCCTCATGAAGGGCAATATTCAAGTCAAAAAGGGGTCTCTCTCCCTGCTCTGTCTGTGGTTCCAAGCCATTTTGATTGTCTTTATTATTGTCACCCATCTGTAGAAGGGGAACGTGAGTAAAGAAAGAGAAAACTCCACACAAGAGAAGAAATATTCACCTGTTATGCTTGTCGTAGTTCTAGTACAGTCTTAAAGCATCAGGTAACATCAAAATATTGAAGGATGATATTTCTCTCTTCAACTCTTCGCTCATCTCATTGAAACTGAACTTGCGCTTCCACATCCCAGCAGTCTTTGGATCAGATGGAATGATCAAGTTTGCAACTTTAAGATTGCATAGGAACTGGAAAAGGTAGTGATGATCATTATAAATTATCTAGGTATATAGAATATTGTTATGAATGGCAATGATAGGAAATTGACGGGGGGCAAATTGAGTTGTTGTTTTAAGATCCTTCTGTAATCTCTACATAGATTATACATGATTGAATGGACATTCTATAAGAGATCAAGGGACTTTGTTAACCACTTACCGATTCAATTATCGTCATTAACGCCCAGGAAATTCCTTGGCCCCTGTATGCCTCTTCTGTGGCAATAAAAGGCATTTCTGCAATCCTCCTCTCATGAAATATATAGAGCTAGAAGGTAACAATCAATAACAGTGTGTATCACAATCTTTGTTAACGCAAAACAAAATTATAAATCTGTATTTCAAGGGCAGAGAGCATCTGAGCACGAGGGGCATTGCAAAGTTACAGAAGTGTGTTCACAAACTCAATAACTAAAAAAGTTGGAAAGATTAACAAACAAAAAAAGGATACCTTACACAAGCTGCAGCGATGATCTCATCATCTTTCTCCAGGATAAATGTATAAAATTGGCTAAAATTAATCCTGGATAATTTTGATCTGAATAGTAAATGACAGCAATTGATCAAAAGGTTGTATTCTTGATTCTTATATGAAAAGTAGAAGAATATTAGAGTAATTAGAAAGTTTTGAATGAAAATACAAATTAATGGCAGCAGAAGTAATGAGCTATATGCTTTAAGACGGGGAAAACTAATAAAGTTCTGCAACAATGTGGAATTATACCATCAATGTGCTTTTCCTCGACTGTAAACTACACTTTCGACCAGATTGATGCCCGTGTGCGTGCCAATTATTGTGTTAAAAGCTTCATTCATTAACATCCAAGTAACTGCAACCTTAGAATTATTTTCTAAATGTGAGTTCCTAGCAGCAGAGACCACCTTGGGGGTCATATCCATTTGGCGGATAACTCTCCAAGAGTATCTTGCAAAGACATCATTTCTGGTTCCAAGTGAGCCTTCCAATTTCTCATAGATCTTTCACAAAGCACATAGTCAAAAATCTAAATGTAATGGAAAAAACACAAAAATAATATCTTCCAAATATAATATTTGATGCACAAATCATAGAGAAAGAATATGTACCTCTCTGCAACATGGTCCAGGAATATTAGTTTCCTTGTTTTGCTCTCCCTTTGCCGCCCTCTTTTTGGATACACAACTCCGTATACCCTGCATGGCTTCAAATCAATTGAATGTGCCAAAATATCTGTTACAGAATTAGTAAACAGCTTAAGCGATCACAAAAGTAGTTATGGCGATTAACAAATACCAATGAACATTAATGATCTGAAGAAATAAAAAAGAATAATAGGGAAAGAAATGGTCAAGAAAGAAAAAAATTCAAGCAAACATCATACTCAATACACAAATAAGCAATCCACTTTAATTAAATATGCATTTGAAAACCAAATAGGTTATGACGGCGCAATCTATGCCAGAACAGATCTTAAAATTTGTACATCAATCAAACTAAACAAATAATGAACCTTCCTGCATACATAAATGAAGTTCTCGAATAAGTAGACTTCAATCAAGGAGATTGAATACTTTGCCCAACAGGGGAAGTCGAATCATCTACCACAAAAAATCTCGACAATACCATAAATTGCTACTGAGTAGAAAATATACCTTCAATTTGGGAATAAGATCTTTGCCGCCCTAGATTCTTGATGTGAAGATTTTTATAGATTCATTTGAAGTTTGAGCATTGGTCATTGCAGAAGCAAGTAATCAGTAAACCTGTGAAATGCCTGCACAGCTTGAAATTGTTAAAAAATATTTTAGTGAATATCTCAACTCATTGAAGGAATTCAAGTTATATATGGTAACAAGAATGGGAAAATCGATACCAGAGGAGACCGAGAAAGCGCTCTTCTCTTCTAGTGCTTTGAAAAATGAAACAAATGTGTCACGTCGTCAAGCAAGACAGGCAACAAATTCAGACTGCACAGTCTTCTCCAGCTTGGTGTTTAGTGCTAGCAGTGACTAAAATTTGAAATTTGTCTGAAAGTGGATTCAGCGTTTGGTTCAGAATTTTTTTTTTTGTAATAATAGAAAAATGAAATATACAGAGAAATGATTGGAAAGATAGATAAGGTGAGATATGTAAAAAAATGTAAAAAAAAGTTGTTTGGTGGAGAAAAATTTTACTGAAAAAATCAGGTAACTTTATGAAATCAACAGTGCATTAAAAGTCAGATAACCGGTTTTTCGAAAAATCCCACCTTCAAATTGGGTTTTTAAACAGTGCAGATATTTATGTTTCTCATAAATCCATACAAATTGGATAGATGGATTTTTGGTGAAAATACGTTGAAACAAACATTGTGTTTCTAAAAGTCATATTTGAAAAACATAAATATCCGCTGAAAAAGCTCCCAACCAAACACCACCTAAAGGCAATTGTACTAGGGAAGGGTACGCAGTCAGTGTCTTTATATAGAAGAGAAGAGGGGCTCCTTGACTCATTTGGAGGGTTTTTTATCCTATTTAATATTTTAATTCGGTATTCATGATATTTATCAGTGACGCCAAGGAGATCAAGCGGCACTTAGTGCGGATAACGTGTTTAATTTTTTATTAATTGAAAAGTGATAAAGAATATTTTAAAAATGGTAAATTTTATTCTTACCAAAAATTTATATAAAAAATAAAAAAATTAAACATGTTATTTCAGATTTTCATATAATACTTATGACTTATACTATTAAGAAATGAATTCAACATCACCAGATTTAACAAAATTAGAGAATAAATGGTATCCTATATTTAAATTTTTATTTTATAAAGAAATAAATGTGTTTTGCCATTTAAAATCCCTTCTTATTTTAATATAAAATAAATATTTTTACTTTTCACTGAAATTTTTTTTATTTTTAAAAATTAAGCCCAACAAACCAAACAAAATGAAAAACATAAAATTACAAATGAAATTGTTAAACATAACGCCTTACGGGTGATATCATCAATTTAAGGAACTTGGGTGACATGTGATATCACCTCTAGTTTTTCGTGGACAACTAATTTTGTCTCATCAACCATTATTTTTAAGGGTAAGGATATTCTAATTACCAAAAATTTTTACTACTAACTTACTAATCATCACATCACCATTGGATCAAAGAGAGAGAATGTTAAAAAAAATTTGAAGAGAGAGAAAATGTTAATCTAATGGTGATTAAATAGGTAGTAAGTTGGCAGTAAAAATTTTTGGTAGTGAGAATATCCCTCCTCTATTTTTAAAACATGTCAACATCGTATTTTATATCGTAAAAATTTCAAGTAATAAAAAAAGAAACTGTGGAATATCTTTCGTTGAATGTCAAGATATTATTCTTGAAATAATAATAATAAAACTTTGCCCCCTCTATATACTGTATCACATCTTTGAAAAAAGAAAAAGAAAACATGTAAATAAAACCTCCCTAAAGGGCCTAAACAACGTATATTAGTACACTTGTGTGCTTTTGCATTCAATTTATCACATGTCTCTTGAGTTCTTATTCAACCTTTCCTTAAATTGATTCAATATTAAATTAATTAAAAAATGATTTCTTAATTTTATTAGATTATATTGTTTATAAATTTAATATTTTTTTTCTTAATTTGTCGTGTTAACTATGTTGCATTGCTAATTCAAAATATTTAGTATAATATCACATACTTATATTAATTCTTAATCATGATTTTCTCACTCGTAATTTTTTTTTATTTATGAAAAGACCCACATGAGAGTTAATAATTATAATAACATATCACACAAGTTCAACAATTGTAGTGAATTGACTACCAAAAGAGTATCATTAATGATCAATAAGTAGTTGAATTATTGAAATCATCACGAAAAGAAAGTTATTCCAATTTTGAATGTATAAATGGAATGATTAATACGATTCACATACAGTAAGATGGGAAAAAAACATAATTATATTTTAATTATGGGTTCATTTTTTCTACAATTACTGCAGATAAGTTATATACAGTAAGCTCAATACAATGTCGTTTTGGAGCGAAAATCATAGTATTTTTGTAATTTTAATTTATTTCAAGGTTATAATAATCTTTATATTTATAATTTTTTAAAATTTCAATACCAAAACGACGTCGTTTTAAAAAAAATATAAATAACTTATTTGCAATAAACATTTTTCAATATCAAAGTTAACATTGAAGTCTAGAAGTTGTCTCTATGTCCGCTACATTTGTGTTTGCAGAGCATTCTGATTATTAGTTTGATTGCCTTTATTGTCATCTCTACCACCACCATAGGGAAATATAAGAGTGGAGAAAGAGAAAACTCCAAGCACAAGAGAAAGATAATAAGCAAGAGATATTCACCTGCTACGCTTGGGAAAAAGTCGCTCAACAATTTTAAAGCATCAGGGAACATCAAAATATTGTAGAAGGACATTTCTCTCTTCAGCTCTTCTCTCATCTCAATGAAGTTGTACTTGCGCTTCCACATTTCGGCAATCTTGGGAAAAGATGGAATGATCAAGTCTTTAATTTTAAGATTGCATAGCAACTGGAATAGATAGTTATAACCGTGAGAAATTATCTAGGTATATAGAATTACTGCTATGAATTGCAATGATACGCAGCTAACAAATATATCTACACCAGAATAATTGTTTCTAAAGAAACATAAAAATTCATTTCTAGAAAACAAAGTAAAAATCAATTTGATTATCTCCATATGTTGGAATTTTTAATTCTTCTAAACCTTTTGGTGATAACTATCTCCTATAAGCCAAGATCCATCATACCAAATCATAAAGAAAAATAAGAACAACATAAAGGTGGAGGCATACCTGTCTCCATTGCAGCGGAATAACTTTTATCTTGTCTCTTGGGGTTTGTAGTCTTCCTCAGTCAAATCACCCTAAAATCTTATTCCTTAGTGTGCTGTCTCTCTCTTGATGGGGAAGAGAAACTAGGGTTGTTATTTGACCTCTTGGGGACCATAACTCTTATAGTGTTTTTATCTTTATTGTTGGGCCAATAAGCTCCCATTATACCTAGTTGGCCCAACACCGGTATCCACTCATTCAATCCATACTCACTTAGGAATCTATTTGGGAATATTTAACTGATCACTTTAATTTACCCAATATATATAAATAGCACAATATAATTATTAATATAATATGTAACCCACAATGATTATTAGAAAATATAATTTCCTAACAATCTCCCACTTGGGTCACATATTAACTTGAGATAATTATATCATATATCTTTAGTGCGCAACTGTATGCTATTTTTCTTTAGATTCCTCCTTAGATACAATCTGGTCCACCTCCTATATCAATATGAAATCATGGCGGCTTTTGTCACTTTCAAGCGTATCTAAACCTTCCATGGTCATCGCACCAATATATTCAATGACATAGATCAAGTATGGATGAGTGGCATGGAAATTACATGCAATGTGATCTTACCATGCCTATTTCCAACTGGTCCTACTTTAATCTTTATGAGATCAATCCTAAATTTTCTGCATACACAAAGTAGAAACACAAGCACAAAATTTAATACATTCAGAGGGAAAATAACATTGAATTCTTTATTCTGCAGAAAACAAACATAAGAATATTTCATTTATTTATTTACATAGAACACCTACATAAAGAACTCCCACTAAACCGTAGTGTCATCGAACAAAACAACACCCATATGAGCAGTATGCTCGTGAAAGACCTTAGGCAGTAAGCCTTTAGTAAGCGGATCCGCAAGCATGGAGTTCGTCCCTGCTTCAATTTTGAAGAGCTTCTGTTGTTGTTAGAGTACAACACGGTTGACCTGTTGTCACAATAAATCTTCAGTGGCCTTTCAACACCACTTACTATATGTGGCCCTGTGACA